ATGCCAGGGAAACCAAGATTCATAAGACAGACAAGCATCTTAACATTATTTTCCCCCTCTTCCTACTTTATCTTAACTTAGAATTTCAACTGAAACCTGTCCACCATGGATGACCCTACTGTTATTTAAAAATACTGGTGGCATAGCCTCTAGCATCACGGCAACACACAAGTCCCACAGCATGACAAACTGACAAGTTAGTAGAGAAACAGAAGCCTAAAAGTATATGCCAAAGGACCCACACTTAATGAGTGAACCAGCAAGGTAGTGAGGGAGACGTCACTTTCTCCTTTTTCAATGCTTTCACATACATCGCCTTATTTTATTCCACCACTCTCCTGGTGCAACAGTAGGATCATTGAGCAATGGTAACTAGTAAACCAGTTGTCACAGAGTCGATTCTGACTCTTGACCAACCCATACTATGTGTCAGAACTGAGCTCTGTAGAGTTTTCTCTGGTGATTTTTGCAAGCAGATCACCAGGCCTTTCTTTTGAAGCACCTCTGGGTGAACTTGAACTTCAACCTTTGTACCAACCTAGGACTCTGTGATGGTTAAGGTTGCTTGTCAACCTATCCAGGGGTCCTGATTCTTATTGTTTTGGCAGTTATGTAATGATGCAGTCATCTCCAGTTTGTGAACTGATGTAATGTAGCAACTTCCGTGATTAGATTTGCAATGAGCATCAAGTCAGTTGAAAGACAATTTCTTTGGGAATGTGGTCTGTATCCAGTATGTATGAATATTATTGCAAAGCTCCCTGGTTTTCAAATCTGGCTGATCATTATCTGACCTCCAGTTCTTGTGACTTGAGTCAGCAGCCTGCTGTATTGCTTGCTAATCTTGGATTCATCAGTCCCTGTAGCTATGTGAGTCAGGAGAAGCCTCCAGCTTGACGTTTGAAGGTCTTGGACCTTTCTAGCCTCTACATTTCCTTGAGATAAATCTCTGTATAGATATACATATATAATCTTCACTGGTTTTGCTTCTCTAGAAAATCCAGTCTAAGACAAACTCAAAACCAGTTGTCACTGAGTCATTTCTAATTCATAGTGACTCCATGTATATTTAGTAGAACTGTGCTCCAGTTTTCAGTGGATGTGACCTTTCTTTCCAAGTGGCTCTGAATAGACTCGAACCACCAATCATATACGTAGTAGCTCATTGCTTAACCATGTGTGCCAATCAGGGACTTCCTGGGCAATGTTAGCAAAACCCATTGCTGCTGAACTGACACTAATAGGAACCTTAAAGTACAGAGTAGAAATGCTGACCTTGTGGTTTGATGTTCAGTGCTGATCCTACACGGCAATGGTTGTTGTTATTAAGTACCATAGAGTCGCTTCCGACTCATAGTGACCCTGTACAGGGTTTCCGAGGCTGTAAATCTTTACGGGAACAGAAAGCCTCATCTTTCTCTCGCGGAATAGCTGGTAGTTTCGAACTGCCGACCTTGAGGTAAGCAGCCCGATTCGTAACCACTACGCTATGGTAGGATCTCCAAAATCTCTTTGGAAACAAAAGAGGAGAATGGATGAGGGACCTCTTCCCACTTTCCCAGGAAGAGCCCGCAAAGTACGTACAGGAAGTACACCTGTCCTCAGACAGCGGGTGAGGAAATTACTTGCTCAGGGTTGCTTCTTTAGAACTAGGGTCGCCCTCTGGTGGACTGACGGTGAAGAGCGAAAGCTAGGACCGTCTATTAAATTGTTGAAGGGGCTCTGGTAGTATAGTGGTTATGGAGTCGGGCTGCTTACCTCAAGGTCAGCAGTTCGAAACTACCAGCTGTTCCACGGGAGAAAGATGAGGCTTTCTGCTCCGGTAAAGATTTACAGCCTCGGAAACCCTGTACAGGGTCGCTATGAGTCGGAACCGACTCCACGGCATATCACCACCACCACCATTAAATTGTTGTGTGGCTAAGAGCAACTAAGTAGTTCCCTCTGGTCCTCTTGCCTCCCCAGTTGTAAAATGTACAATGAATGGATGGGTATGTTGGGATAAGATCGTTGCTATTCTGAAAGGTTCACCCACTGATCCAGTTAGTTGTTGGTGGAGTAGCATAAGTGGATCAGAAAGAGTCTCTTTTAATAGACACTTCATACCTGGAAATGAGTATATGAAATTGTTTTAAGTATCAAAAATCCACAGAAGTCAACCTGCCAGAAGAGTCACTCTTCTCAGGTGGGGTCAAAGGTCGAGTTCCGGTCAATCCGTAGAGAAACCGGAAGTCCCAGATCCTGTCAGCTTAGAGTCCCGGTTTAGAGCCGCGACTAAAGCACCGGAGGCGGAGCTTCGGCATGGGAGAGGGAGGAGTTTGGGTCTCCCAATGGCAACCGGTAGGCTTCCATTGCAGCCAATCAACGCCGGGAGACGGTAAAATTTAAACCCCCCTCCCACCCCCTCCACTGGGACCTGTCCTGAAAGCGTTTGTAGAAAGTGCAACCACTCGCCCCGCCCCTGGGGAGGCGGGGATAGAGGCGGTTTTCCTTCCCTCTCTCCTATCACGACGGACAGCCCCGGGAGAGGCAGACCGCAGCGCCAATCAGGGCGGGCAGCCCGATCTTCGCTGAGCAGTTGGCTACAGTTGTTGCAACTTTTTTCGAAAGCTCCGTTTCCCGGGAGATTCCAGGCGGTGACAGAGCCGGCCATGGCTAGAGGTATTCGCGGGGGGTACCGGCGCTGGTGCGGTTGGGCGTGGTTAGCGCTGGACTCGGGTGAGGAGGTGCCGAGCGTCGGCGAAAGGCGTCCCTTTACGGGCGGGGGCGGGCGGAGCGTGGGAGTGGGCGGGGGAGGAGCTGCCCCCGAAGCCCACCCCGCACGGACCCCCATTCCCGCGCCCCGAAGCCCCTCCCATTGCCCTGCCTTGATTTCCCCTCTTCTTAGGCTGCGGATTCACATGTCAAAGCTCTTTGGAAATTCCAGCGCCGGGTTCCCCAGGAGGAGGGTTCTTATTAATATAAAGGACAGGGTAAAGCTTCGTCCACTTTGGGGCTCTGTCCGGATGAGGAAGGGGGTGACCCGGAGTCGAGGGCCCTTTCTGAGCGGTCAGGAGCGGGGGCTGCAGTTGCTGGAACGTTAACCTACTTCCTGGGGAGCGTCCTGTGTCAGACCGCTACGATTGAATGTTGCACTTTGAGGAAATGGGGTCCCTGGCACCAACTGGAGTGGGCCCCCGCTCCGTAGCTGGTCAGGACTCCGCCCCTGTGGAGATGACTTGTGTGGACTTGTACCACCGCGACGGGCAGCGTCCCTCTTGCAGATCTCCTCAGCCCATTTAAGTTGGCTGCCAGGACTGTCAAATCCACGTTATGCGGCAAAATGATCTTTAACGGGAGTCATTCCCAGCTTGCTTGCTAAAAGGGCCAAAAATTGGAGTCTGAGGGTTGAGTATAATTCTTTTTTTTTTTTTTAATAAGTTGGGTTTTTACATTTTTCTCACAATTACAAAACATCCTGTATACACAGTAGGCATTTGCTCCCTATAACAATGATAATGAATTAAAATAATGATTCATTCAGCACATCTTTATTGAGCTCCTTTGTTTCCCAGCCCAGCATGCAGTTTCATCATTTGTTTTCCCAGCATCCCTTTAGGGGCTTTGGGGCAAAACTCCCCACATGACTGAAGAAATGAAGAATAGTGAAACTTGGGTTGCAAAGCTTCATAACCTCAGTCCCCACAGAGCAAATTCAGACTCATATTTTTCCTCAGCCAAATGCGAAGCATCTACCAGTATATTTAATATCTGACTAATTTACCTGATAGATTATACTTCCCCAGTGTATTTTTCCCCTTCACAGCATAGTCATTGAAACTACCAATTTCATAAATAGTGCATTTAGAAAAAAGAAAAGAAAAAGGTAGGTTTTAATTAATCTCTGAGGGAAAAGAATTAACCACTTTATCTTTGAAAGACTTAAACTATGGGCAAATAATCACCCGAGGGTGCTTTACCATAAAGAAGGTTTTAGTTAACCTTTAAAGATTGTCCTTCGCATGTTTTAGATATGAAAACTCAAGTCCAAGGTCAATGCCCAGAGTCTGAACAGGTCCTGTCATTGCTTGCCTCCCCACCCCCACCCCCAGTTTCTCTCTTACTCAGCCAAGCAAGATAGTGTTTTCCCAGCTGTAAGCATAACTGGTCTACAACTTGCCCTTCTAATGAATTGTTTAGTGATTCTCTCTTGGTGCCACTTGACCCTGAAATTAGGAGTTCCTTGTTTCTCAGGGATCAGTACCATTGACAGAGTCTTAAGTTAACATTTCAGAATCGTCAGTATTAAATCATTTCAAGAACCCTCAAGGCAAGTGAGGGATCAGTGTTGTACTTCTAGCAGAAGAGGTCTTAGCTTCTCCCTGGAATTTTAGTTTGAGAGTCTCGCTTGGTCACACACAAAATGTACAGATGCAGGCATCCCTCTTTATTTTTGAAGTTTTATAAACATGTAAATACAGTCACAAGTATATTTGCTTGAGGAAAATCAACCCATCTTTCCAATCTTCTGTCAATTGGCCTCCTAATTGCCCTCTCTCTTTTACTTTTGCTATCTCCACTTCATTATCCCTCAGTGGTCCTCAGTATCCACCAAGTTTTACGTGTTACTTTCCATACTCCCTCCACCCCTACCAGACCTCCCCATTACTCTTAGGAACAATTCTACAATCTTCACTATGGCTTACAGGTCCTACTGACCCCTCTGTATCTTGTTACCTTCAACTGCTGGAACAAACTACTCAGTAAATGTTTGCTGAATGAATGAATCAACGAATTGTATTTTGGTATTTGAATTCCAGGGAAGCAGTCTATTTTCTTTTTGGAAAAAGGACCTTATATGGCAAAACCTGAGCCACTGAGCCAATTCTGTATATGAAATAGGAATAATAGTAAGTTGTTTGGGGGACTAAATAAATTGGAATCAAACAATGCATTAGTGCAGGACCTAAGGAGTAGTAAGACTTCACTAGTGGTTACTGATTATAATGATACTTCTGTGAGAAGCTGGGTGACATTAAGAGTTTTTATTTGTTTGTATGTTTGTTGTCTGCATATAAACACCTCATGTGCAGGATAAGGAAGGACTGCTTTGAAATTTCTACTGAATGGTTTGTATTTTATAATGTCTAGGAATGTATCTCCTGCATTTATGGGTTTAACATGCAGAGAGAGCTAAGGCCATCCGTGAATGGGGGAGGAGATTGTGTTTAAGTAGCATATGAAATGGGCAAGATGTTCTGGGTAACAATTTCTTGGTACCAAAGCGTGATTCCCACAGTAGGATTTGCAACCATTGCTCAACTCTGCAGATGTGTTGTTGTGAGTTGAGTTTTCAACTTACAATGGCCTTGTGTAGGCCTCGTCCTAGAGCAGATGTTGGGTTTGAACTGCTGGCAGTTCATTGTTAGCAGTCCACTGTGTATCCTACAGAGATATTTCACATGGCTCAGGTGACTGTCAGCGTGTCACTCTAGAATCCTCTTTCACCCTCTAGGTAGCTTCCTGGGTATTCAAGTGTGGAGGATAGTTGGTTCCGACTCATACCCACCCTATATAGGGTTTCCAAGGAACGGCTGGTGGGTTTGAACCACAGACCTTGCTGTTCAAACTGAACTAGTGGTCCACCACTTATCCTACTGTACCACACCAGGAGCCCTCAAGAATTAGTGACTGGGGTGAGGGAGTGCCCCCAGGCATGGCCTGAAGGATGATGAACCTGATTTGAGAGACATTATCCTCTCCTTTAAACTACTCAGTATTATCCCTTCTAAAAGGAGCTCTGATAGTTTACTGGTTACGAATTGGGTTGCAGCTGCTCCATGTGAGAGGCTTTCTGCTCCCATAAAGATTTACAGCCTTGGAAACCCAGTACAGGGTCGCTATGAATCAGAACCAGCTCCACGGTACACCACCACCAAGGGGAAGCAAAATAGGGGAATGCAATTTTTCTTATCTGTGGATATTGGAAGGTGCTCAGGGAGATTATAGAATTGAAATTTCTTAACTGAATTTTTTTTTTTTTAACCCAGGAGGAAACTGAGGCCCAGTCGAGAGCAGTGATTTAGCAGTCTTGCAAAGACCTCTGGGGTGGAAGCTGGGAGGAAAACTCAGTCTCTGCCCTCAAGGCAGTATACTGGGCCCAAAAATGTCTTGTTTGCAACTTTGACTTTGCATAAAAGTTAGCCAGCAAGTCCTTGGCCCCAGGGGCCCTCGAACCCCAATCTGGGAACCAGTGGCTGAAGGCACGGAGAAATGCAGAGACAGCTACCTGAGATCCTGTAACCTCCGTCTACAGGATCATTTTCACATGGGGGCAGAGAAGCCACACCATTTAATCATCCCAACTTCAATTTTCTCATGGTGGTCAAGATCACAGGCCCTGGGGTCAGGTGACCTGGGTTGAAAATGTTTGGCCAAGCTCCTTACTTCTCTTGAGCCTCAGTTTCCCCATGCGTAGAAAAGAGAGGATCATGATTGTCTACCTTGACAATCATGTTGTAGGCTGGGATGAGATAACATTAAGCTAGAGAAGCAGGCTGCCAATTTCTGTTGTAATCTGCTCCATCACTGTTAAGGGTTACAGAGCCAGAGACCCCTCCTTGTGACACCTAGTCCCATCACTTCTCAGCTTCTTTAAGCCTCAGAATCTCTGGGGTCATCCTAAGTAGACCTGAGCTTAAGGGGTATGGAGGGGTTGGGGTTCCAGGGTTATACAGACGTTCCGCTGGGCACCCTGGGAGTGGGGAGGAAGGGATGGTCCGCCTCGCCACCACCACTGGTGCCTGGCACGGCACGGACACCCTTCCTCAGACGCGGGTGGAGCGGGTGGAGGCGGAGCCAGCGGACAGATCCGGGCTGTCATTATCATGTGGCCCACCCCCTGCTCTTGGAGTGGTTGGGGCGCAGCGCGAGGGGCGCTCCTGGGCAGGGATTCGCCACAACTGGCCTCGCCCCGCCTCCCTTTTGCCTGGGTGCCTCCCCGCCACCCCCTCGGCCGGGCGCGGACCGCAGGCGGCGGGGACGCGCCAGCACCACCTTCTGCGTTCTTGGAACCGGCCGGCGGGTGCCGCGGCCCGCTGCCGGGGGGGCCCCCTTGCAGGCCATGGGGGAAGGGGGTGCCGTGGGG